ACTAATAAATTAAAGTAGATTTTTCTGTAAAATAAATAAGATAATAATAAACATCAAAGGTATAGTTAATCAGGAATTAGGAAAGTTCCAAACATTATTAAACTAAAGAAAATATTAACAAAAACGTTATAGATTCCAATGCGGTGTAGTAATATCTTGTTTTCTTTCTGACAAAACTAATGTTTCCTACTAACTTACCACAGCCTGTATTCCATGGCCAGTCACAGACTCTGAGTCTAGGGTTAAAGTGAAGAATACTTGGACATTCCTTGGTGCGAGGAATATAGTTGGAGCAATGGATGAAGAGGTTGCATTTAGTGGGATGAGGAAAGAGACCGGACGGTTTCTTGCAGTAGTTACCAGGTGGCACTGTTGGCTTGTCATCACAGTCCTTGTCACACGTTCGGTCACAGTTTACATTCTTTGCATAGTCACAGTTCTCACTCTTAGGGTTAAAAAGTAACCCATCTGAACACTTTTGTTCGACAGCATGGCCATTGACACAAAGTGTAAACTTGCTGCAGTCGTTAGGGTCAGCAATAGCACAGCAATTACACGGACACTCTTTCTTGGCTGGATAGACAATGAGTGGTCTTGTAACCTCTTCTGTCAAAATAAGCAATACCTATTACATCCTTTTTCAAAACCCTAAAAATATTTTGTCTTTACACTAACCGAATCAATGAAGTAAAGTGATTAACATATTTTAGAAATATATCTAAGAAATAGTATAATATTCACATAACATTCATTTCAAATGTTAAGACACACGTCCTTTCTCAATCTACCATTTTTGGTGCGTTTAGACATAATCAAAAACACTCTCTGGTTTAATATCGTATTTTGATAACATAAGCATTTCATATAATTATCTAGTATTCTAATCGCACTGAATCGTTGACGATTTTATGGTAAAAACAAACTACATCTTGTGTTTGAATTAAATGTAACACTTACCATCGCAAGTGTCAGGCCAGTTGCAGCACCGGGTGTTAGGGTTAAACCCAAGACCCTCTGGGCACTTCATAATCTTGAACTGCCAATTTTCACATTTGATGTATTTCAGACAAGAGTCTGGGTGAGGAAAGAAACCATTGGGTTCGGGACATCTTGGGTCTCTGCACTCCACCTTATCAGCATAGTCACAAGTGTCCGTTTTGGGGTTGAAGGCCAGGTCAGACGGACAGGTTATTTCATAAATTTTATTATTCTCGCAAAACTTGTACTTAGTGCAGTCGTTAGTGTCACGAATCATCGAGCAGTCGGAACTACATGTTTGGTTTGTTGCTGGTCTAATGGTTGGACCGGTTGTCTTCCCTTTAGGAATATCAAAATGTTATAAGTAATGAAAATGCTTCTTTTATCATTGATTTAATCGAATAAAACATACAAAATTTCTTCTTAAACCTATTATTTTACTGTTCTTAACCTTGCTTGTGATTGTCACTATGTACGCTATACTAGAAATATGATACTAAGTTTCTGTGACATCATGTAAAAGTCACTGTTGATCCATTTATTATCCTGGTCGTCCTCGTAACGATGTCATACATAGGGCAAGTAAGACTACTATACTTTTTGGAAGGTGTTTTCATTGCTTCCATACACCTGACGAACTAATAGGATATATATTTCACTTTAGCTGGTAATTATAATTAAATATTTTTCTTTGAACCATGGTAGCCAAAGTAACATAGTATCCTGTAACATCACCCAAACTATTAAGATAGAAGCTTTTGTTACCAAACCTATTAGAAACAACCTTGTTTTCTTTCACCTATGTTTAATCGTACAACGGATCATTTTACTTACACTAGGCTAAGTAATGTGATCCACTTAACTTTATATGGATCCTACTAACTGAGAACGAACTAACTGAATCATATTTAGAGATATTCTATCAAACAGAATGTTCAGGTTGTGAGAAACACCTATACACACATCTGTACATCATACAAAACATCGAGTAATATTTCAACAACTCTCATGTCAGTTTTACATCTTAAAGTTCGTAATTTGTTGATGAACCAAGACTGTCTAAAGAACTTGTTTTCACAGTCTCTTCCTTGGTGGATAATGGTCTTCTCAATAAAACTGTTGTTAATTGTGTACACATTAAGATTCTGGTCAGTGGAAGTCTCTTATGTAACAGGAAGTTTGATTTGCTACTTTTCTTCATGTTAAAGTATAATAACATGTGCTTGTGTCCTTGCATTTGAGGTCACATTAAGAGTGAACGTTTCATGATTAACACGTTGTTTAAACAAACTTTCTCCAGTTTGGCCACTTGCACATCAGATTGTTTATTGATTCTCGTCATGATTTTCAATCCTTGCCTAACGTGTATAGCTTTCATACAGAGTACACTGTATCATGTAGATGCCTATTGTAGACTTACCTTTTTATTTACTGTTGTAAAACTTCGCTTAGATCAATACTTATGATAATTTTTAACTTCACATCATCTACACGTGCATCACTAGCTAGCATAAGTGTCTCGTGGGTACGTATTCTACGCGAGTGAAAGATGTGTTTAATGTAAATTTGTTTGGTCTCATCATTTTCAGGGTAACGACATGTAAAGTTCATATCTTCAAGGAATTTTTAGAGGGTCAGCGTTTTTCAGTGATATATCAAGTTGCTATTATAATCTAAACTCATTTTATGTTACTTCGAATGAACACGGTCGTTAAGAATGTTTATATTACAAGCTTCACTAACACATTTTGCTACACCGATAACATATATAAATATAAATTATACTTTATACAGTAAATTATTTATGCATTTACTACAGTCATGAGTCAGTCGTCAAGCTTCTCGGGTGAGCAATTTAGCCTTAATATATTATTATTTTTTTATGCAACTGCATCCGGAATCTTGACATAGAAAGTTTCAGGGCGTTTAATAAACTTACAAGCGTTTGACTTCTCACAGTCAACATTGCTGTTGGTCTACTTTAAGCGTTATTTAAATTGTTTTTCTTAATGTTCTACAAAAGACTGGTCAATGTCTTGCTTAACTGTCCTATATGATCATTATACGTACTAGCAGAAACTATTTCGGACACATACATAGATAGATAAATATATACACGCTACGTCCATTATAGTAAAATGGGATTTCAACATAGGTTTTACAACAACCACACTCCACACTTCCCAGTGTATGAAGCATTTGATAATTGTTGTATACCCGACATTTTCAATCGATATGAAGCTTTTATGAACAAAACAACCGGAATAACATCAGTAAAATCTTTCAAACTTTCATTAAAAACAGTGTTCAGCTGCTGCATGCCAGGTATTTCTACTATATAAGAATACTTTACAACTTCAATCAATTATAAAAAAATCACTATATGTATATATATATATTCACCATTAAATCATTTTATGGCTAAATTGTATTGAGAAACTTACCACAGACATCTGAATCAGGTTTATCGCAGGTTTGAAGAAAAGCGTTGAAGTGGAGACCAGATGGACACTTTTTGCGAAAAGACAAACCGGTATAACAGAAGTAAAACCTTTCACAGTCTTTGGGGTCAGGAAACAAACCACATGGCTCGGGACACCTGAAACAAATGGGTTCTGGTGGAAGTGTCGGTGGTACAGTCGAAATGACTCTTGAAACTGTTGTCGTTTCTTGAACTGTAGTTGTAGTATCTGTTTGAAGAAGTAACAGATTCCATGTGAAAAGTAACAACTATTTATTTCAGGAATTGTACCAACAAAACCTTCTAAACCTGACGGAATATGTGACCTGTGTGAATGTTGTTTCATCCCTGACGACAAAGATTGTGCAGCCTTCACCCGGTGTGAAAACGGAAAATCTTACAAAGACCGCTGTTCCCCTGGTCTGTTGTTCAACCCCAAGATAGAGAACTGTGACTTTGAGGAGAATGTTGACTGTGAGAAGCCCAAAGTTTGTAAGTTTATTAATTGCCCTGGAGATTTCTTCGTCAATACTCAGTGTATTTGCACTGAAAATAATACTAATTTTGTTAGTGTTAAAAGATTGCTCAACCGAGCAGTTTAACGACTAACTTATGACTGTAAGAGATGGAAAAATCATTTACTGTACAGAGTATAACTTATAATTATAGAAAGTATTGGTGTTTGGTTCCTCCTTTAATTCTTAGGTCGATATTTTATGTTTAAGTAAGGGAGATAGTGAAATCCATATCAAAAACAAGTAATAATTGTTTGTCAGTTCTTTCCTTTGATACAATTTTTGAATTTATGCAATAATGACATGTATGAATGTCCCCAATAAGGTGAATCACTTGTCCATTATAACTTTAAATTTGACGTGAATGAGCTGATGCCAAATGTTATCTTTAAAATCTTCTAGAACCTGGTTTTCACATTTGTCGTCATGCTTCTTTTGGGTTATCCCTATCATCATGTAGTTTCCTCTATAGCTGAGCTACTGGGGAAGCCATAATTTATAGAACTGATAGTTTTTGTATGTTTTGTTGTTTTAGTAATAGAACATCGGTGATTAACTTTATTGAAGGAATTGAGGAATCTAATGTCTTAATAACCAGTTAGTTTTTGTAACAAAATTGTAGGATGCGTTTGAAATAACTACAAAACTAATTATTATTACACTAGTATTAGAATTTATGGAACGAACTGAGGTAAGCAGTTTCTTTCTAGTTGTATTAAGTTTGAAATTAAGGTAACTTTGTGTTTCAAACTATTTCTAGAACTGAATATTAACGTATAAGTGACTAGATTTATAGAGGGAACTGAATAATCCAATCTGGTATT